CTAAGTGTTGGGCCTTTGCTAACCAAAAGCCCAAAAGTCCTGATCCCTAAGGGACCTGTCTCAGCACAACATGGAAGATTGACTACAAGAAAGCCTCAACTACAACCCAATGCACATACATGGATTCGGGAAAATTTAGAAGTATAGAAAATCAACAGGACTCTTAGAGTATCAGGATTTCAATGGGGATGTGGCAAACAACACTAGAGGCGGACTTCAAGCCAATAACACAAGTCACCATCAAATGACAAGGAACAAGGAAGTGCTCTACCCCCACTGTTGTTCTGCATAGGCCTCCCTCTTCAGTAAGATCATTAATAAGAATGGCTTAGATACCGACTACAGAATGGTGCATTTGTTAGCCACCTCCCTTACATGGCATGGAATATCAGACGCCGGACCACCTCAACTGGCTCCTTTCAATGTGGAAGGAGTAGCGGCTCTACTTATAGCCCCTATAAGATGGCTGAACTCCCCCATCCACCCTTCAGGGAAAGCTCATTTCCACCTCTTGTATCCACAATCTCGTTCTTTTCGTCACTACCTAAAGCTGGTGACCATAGGTGACCAGGGCATAGATTTACTGGTAAGTCAAGAGCTTCACTTTTACCTTCAGCCCTCTCTTTACCATAATGGATAGGTCCAGCATCCGCATCACTGCAGCTACAGCACCAATCCATCTAACAATCTCCCGGCCCCCTCTCCCCCCACTTGCAAACCCCAACAAACTCCTAGGGCAGCAACTTGTCCCTAACCTGGAGTGGGCACTCCACCCTTTTCCCACTGAAGACCATGGCCTCAGACTTGGAGGTGCCATCTCATTTCTGCCGCTTCACACTCCACTCCAGTGAGCTGGAGGCCACCACCTGATTTGTGCTTTTTGCAGATGATGTAGTTCTGTAGAGGTGAGATTCTGAGACCACCCAAGTGGCAGCCATTCACCAAATTCTGTCACCAATTCTTCATAATTTTTATGAACAAAGGGCAGTCCTGGCAGAGTCCAACACCCACCGGGAACAAGTGTGGCTAATTACTTCCTATGTGTACCAAGCTCTTGCAACAGTTGTATAAGGATCCAATGGCTCGGAGCAACCGCCCTGACAGACACCTGTCGGTACCAACCACCATACTCCCGAAGCATCTCTCACTGAATTCTCCAAGCGACATGGTCGAATGCCTACCCCAAGTCCACAAAACACATGTTGACTAGGGCAAACTCCCATTCATGCTCAAGTACCCTCATAAGGGTAAAGAGCTGGTGCAGTGTTTTGCACCTACCCTCCTGTATCTGAGTTTCAAATAACGGGCAGGGAGACTAAGGAGTGTGATCCCCTTGTAGTTGAAGCACACGCCTCTTGCCACCCTTCGCGAAGAGGGGAACCACCAACCATAAGATACCGCCCTTGATCTCGACGCAACATTATAGAGGCGTGTCAACCTTGGCAGGCTATAGCATCCAGCACCTTTAGGAACTCAGGGCAAACCTCATACACCAAAGAGTTATTTAACTTCTTCAGTGACCTCATCGCCAGTGATGGATGTGTTGTCCCCTTTGTCCCCAGACTTTGCTTTCCCTACAGAAGACGTGTCAGTGGGATCGAGGTCTTCAAAGTATTTCTTCCACTCCCTGACAATATCCTCAGTTGAAGTAAGCAACGGTCCACCTGTACCATACATTGTGCAGGTAGAACACCGCTTTCCCCTCCTGAGTCACCTGAGGGTTTGCCAGAAACTCATCGACGCAGTCCTACAGTCTTTTTCCACAGACTCTTTAAACTCCTCCCACACCCGAGTTTTTGCTTCAGCCACTGCTCAAGCCACGTTCCGCTTGGCCTGTCGGTACCAACCAGCTTTTGGCCACGACTCAGAGTAAAAATGGTCCATTCATACTCAATGTCCCCATTCTCCCATGAAATGCAGTCTTAGCTCTGCTAAAGGTGGGAGTTGAAGATCTCACAGACCAAGGCCTCTACCAGACATTCCCAGTGCACCCTCAATATACATTTAGGTGAGCTAGGTCTGTCCAGCATCCTTCTCCACCACCTGATCCAACTCACCAGCAGATAGTGATCAGTTAACACCTCAGCCCCTTTCTTCACCGAGTATCCAGAACATACAGCCACCGGAACCATTCCTGAATGTACATGCAGCAGTCTCTAGGAGACTGGTTCCAGAATTATTCCACATCCCAGTTGCTACCCTCAGTAGCCGGGATCAGCCTGCTACGGTCTTCCCCCTTGGCTGCCGCCTGGCACACACTGTACTCGACCCCTACAGCGCCTCAGGATTACAGGAGTGTGGGCCCATGTCCCTTCTTCTTGCGCCAGCCTGGGCCCCATTGCCTAAAGGGGCCCAGGCGCTCGCCCTTGGGCACCCTTCCAAGGCCCAGCTCCAGGGCAGAGCCCTAGTAACCCTATTCAGGCAGGATGAACTATTCCCTAGACTTTTTACTCATAGGCGTCTTCTAATTTGCTTTTTGTCTGCTCCCTCACCCAGGACCAATTTGCCATGGGAAACCCCCTAACAACATAACACCTTGGATCCCTGGAACACACAAAGCCCTCCAGATAAGGTAGCGATTCACAGAGGGGGTATGAAAATGTTTTATGCCTTTTGGAACAACACCAGTTAAATGTCCAATATTTTAAAGTGACACATTAGGATAATTTGGAGATATTTTTTACAACTTGTGAAACGTGTGAATTAACTTCATATCAACATCACTTATTTGCTTATGAGTCTCAGTTACAGTGTTATGAAAAAGTATTTGCCACCTTCTTAATTTCTTAGCTTTCTTTGATATCTGTCACACTTAAATGTTTTAGATCATCAACAGCTACATAGAATCTATCTGATAAAGTGAAACAGGCTAAGAGATCTCAAAGAGGAACACATTATACCGTGATCTAAAGAAACTCAAAACCAGATAAAAAAAAAAAAGCTAGTAAATCCAATCAGGCTTGAAAGGGTTACAAAGCCGGTTTTAAAGTTTTGGGGTTCCAGCAAAATGTCATGAATACAATTATCCACAAATGAAACAAAAAACTTTGAATAGTGGTGGCCCTTCTGCCGAGTGGCTGGCATACCAAAATTACTGCATGAACACACTGAAAACCAGGAGCTCACCAAAGAATCCAGAACAACTTCTAAAGAACTGCAGGCCTCACTTGAATGATTGTTGAATCATGATCCAACAATCAAAAGAAACCATGTAAAAATGGCATCCATGGGAGAGTTCCAAGGAAAAAACCACTGATGACCAAAAACAACATCTTGATTATTCACAAGATTTTTGGGACAATATTCTGTGAAAATGTCAAGACATGGAGCTGAACTTCTTGGAAGATGTGCATCCTGTTATATCTGGTGTAAAACTAATTTCAGATGACCTCTAATTTTCTCCTTATAAATCTTAGAAATATGGTATCTGATTAGGATATGTCATTCAGTGTGCATACTAAATATGTAGGGCTGCTTTATCCTATTTGCACAATACCTCTAAAATTACAATTACCTTGTCTGAAAAACTAGTTCATGTATTTATTATTTGTAGGCTACTGACAACAACAACAACAACAACTACTACTACTACTAGCTTCTCTTCAGTGCCTCCCCATTAAATTCAGAATCAAATATAAAATCCTTCTCCTCAGGCCCCATCTTATCTTAAAGCCCCTACAGCACTGTATCACCCCAGTAGAGCACTCAGACTGTAGGCTTAGTTGTGGTCCCTAGGATATTTAAAAGTAGAATGGAAGGCAGAGCCTTCAGCTTTCAGCCCCCTCTTCAGTGGAACAAGGTCCCAGCTTGGATTTGGATTTGTCCTTTTTGACAGAACCTATAGTTAGGTGACCCTGAAGCCACCCTTAGTTAGCTGCAATAGAGTTAGGCTGCTGGGGGCTTCCCATGATGCACTAAACGTTTCTCCTCTTCTGAACTCTTTTCACTCACCACATGTTAGCATTCATTTCTGGCTGTCTTCCATAGTATGTTTATTGTCTTTCTCCCTTCATCACCGTCATCACTGGTCACAGCAGATGGCTGCTTCTCCCTAAACCTGGTTCTGCCAGAGGTTTCTTCCTATTAAAAGGGAATTTTTGCTTCCCACTGTTGCCAAGGTGCTTGATCATATCACCTTGAGGTGACTATTGTTGTGATGTATATGAATAAAATTGAATTGAACTGAAAATTGAATTATTGAAGAACTTAGTTTAAATAAAGTATGAAATAATTTTAAAAAAGGATTTCAGTTATAATAGAGCCTTAACCCATACCAACCTTCATTGCTGAATTCTAGCAGTGGGTTTGCATGAAAGAACAAACATTTAAATCTTAGCACATGCTTAAGGAATTCAAACATATGACCAAAGCTGCTTTGTGTGTGGTTGTGGGAATTTTGTGTCAGAATTGAGAACCACTTGAGCAAATCATCTATAGTAAAATAAAAGCATTGTAGCTTTCTTACATTTAGAGTACAAAACCCTATCACAGTGTTCTTGTCACTTCCATGGAGTCAAATAGAAGTTTTGCACAATGTACAGCATGTACAGCCTGCCAGGGACAGAAACAAGCCATCTGGTGTGTTATTTGCAACAGTATCTTAGCAGTAGCTCTTGGGCTGAAGTGCAGTAAAAAATAGAATCTGAATGATAGAGGCTGAAAAAGCCACTGGTGATGGTTCACTTGTTTGAAGTGGGCTACAGCCAGTGTAGAAATACACACACACACACACACACACACACACACACACACACACACACACACACACACACCCACCGGCTGTAAGACCCGCTGTTGAGAACTGGAGGTCTGCTGTAGTCAGTGCCATGGGAGAGTACATGCTTCCAGATGTCCCCTCTGTAATTACAGTTAGACTCAGTAAATGAGAGGCTGGATCTTGGGCTGGTCCAGGCTGAGACCCTCCCTGACTATTTAAGCTGCTTTCCAGCACTGTGCAGATTTTTATGGAAATTCTAGTCTCTGCAACCACATTTTCAAATAACATCAGCAGAGAAAGCAGAAAGACTTGAGGTAAGGTGGTAACAGCTTTCATCAGATGTCTTTGGATAATATACTTTGGTTAATGTTAATTCCATTTCTGATTTGTTACTCTAGAGGATTTATTTTATTACTAAAGATTTATCAGAATTATTGCTGTATTTTGTCACATGTAGCGAAGAACAGCAGTGAACATAAGATTAAGGAAAGCAGTCATATATGAGGTAAAAAACAAAACAAAACAACCAAACAAAAAAAAAGTCATCTTTTTTTCTTGCTTAGGTGTTCAAAATGTCAATCGCCCAGGCAGCGGCCAAGGCCATGCTATCTGATGCCCTGCTGCGGGATGACTCTGGGATACACCGTATCAGCCACCTGGAACTGGAGCTTCCTCTTGACAAGGTCATCAAGTTTGTGTCTGTGGGCCTTCCGCTGATGCTGGTGTGCATGGCATTTGCCCGTGAAATCTCCCTGGGTGAGCAACTCTGTGTGTGTTTTTTTAATACTATGTCAGGACATTTGTTTTGTATTCCATTTGCTTTTGCCCTTAATTATACCCTCATGAATATTATAGGTCTTTTTTTCTCCATGCTCTTATTGGATTTTGTGGTCCTTGTTTTAGCAATGTTAATAGTCCTCCTTGTACACTAATCTTGTACTTTTTGTTCCTAAATGTCTTTTTATTCATTTGCATTTAGCTGAATTCATGATAAGGATGAGTCTCATACTTAGTGAAATAGACCTAATATTTCTAATATAACTAATATTTCTGCTGCTCTTCAAACTACCCCCCCCCCCCCCTCCTTAATAGGGTTCTTAACTTTTTTAATCTCTACAGATTTGCAGGTTTGATAAAACAGAGTTTTATCCCACATTCCCTCTTACAATACGTATACAAGGAAATTTAATATAAAGAACTGTAAAACAAAGATATTAATTACTCAGTCGAGGAAGAGGAAAGATTTAAACATCTGTCATAAAAGGAGGACTGTAACGGCTGACTCCATTAAGACCCCCTCAAAGCCTCAACAGTACATGTTATGCAACATTGACAAGACATCATGAAATTACTGAAAACAAGAAATAACAAAGGGTTTAAAACTCCATTCAGCACTTTATTGTTTTTACTGCCATTTCTTCTGCTGTCAGATGGGAAAATAAAATAAAAAAAATAATTTAAGTGGAACAAGCACACAGATACTATATCCCCGGCCATTCATAACAAAAAGAGCACAGCTGACAATCATAAATATACTTGGCAGGTCCACAAGTGTATTGCTGCAGAGACTGACTGCCTTGACCTTGAACTAAACGTCTTCTCTACAGAGCCGGTGTGCAATCAGCCTGATGCGCCTGATACTAATTGAAACAGGGGATGATTGAGAGGAGCGTTCACTAACGGTGGCAAGCTGTAATTACCAGCCAAAGTTTTTCTCTAGCAGCTCCCCTCTATTTAAGTCAAATGAGAGGATGTGTTGATTAACCAGAGGAGGGGATGGGGAGTGTGTGTGTGTAGGACATGACATGGTCCTGAGACTCACAGCTCATCTGCTGCATCTTGGCTGCTTATCTGCTGGCTTGTCAGTTTCACAACAGTGCCTGAGTGTATTGTTGTCTGGAGCCTGGTTTACTTGCACCTGTGCTCCTAGCCAAGAAGCCTTGTTTAAAGCACAAATGTGGAGGCGATCTCACAATATTAAGTGAGGATTGAAAGGAGGTGATAGAAGCAGGGACAGAACTTTTTTCAACTCCCTCACTTTGTCAAATGGCTTGCACAGGTAGGGAACTGAAGGGAAAATATTGTTACAAGACTTCATGAGAAGGCATGGTCTGTTGTTTTTGTTTATATATATTTTTTATTTAGGAATTATTTAGCAATATGTAACAAGCTGCATTAAACTATAATTGGCATGGTTAGTACATAATAATAATAATTATAATAATGCTTTCACAGCATGTCTTTTATCCAGTCTTCCTTCTCTCTCCCCAACCGGTCATGGCACCATGTGCTTCACCCTGAGCTTGGTCCTGCCGGAGGTTTATTCCTGTTAAAAGGGAGTTTGTCTATCCCACTGTCGCCAAAGTGCTTGCTCATACCTGGTCGAATGATTGTTGGGTTTTTCTCTGTATGCATTATTGTAGGGTCTACCTTACAATATAAAGTATCTTGAGGTGACTGTTGTTGTGATTTGGCGCTGTATAAATAACACTGTATTGAACTGAATTGAAAAACTCCTGGGTTCTAATCCACCATGTGGCTGTGTGGAGCATGTTCTCCCCATGTCTGCTTGGGTTCTTAATTTTAGCACTTAACTAGGACTGAAATACATTACAAAAATATGCACACCCATGAGATAAGTGGGCCATGCACTATATTGTGAGGTGGAGTGGTGAGAGAAATTATATCCTGGCAGTAGAGTAGTGGCAGCATATTTGTACTTATATTGAGCTGGCCAAATGTGGAGGGTGCAAGGATAAAACAGACCGTTTCTCTTGCAAAGCTGCAAGTAGGTGGGGCACACTTTGATGTCTTCTAACTCTAGCTCTCTGTTTAAGGGTGGAGCACCCTTGAGAAATGACAGATGGGTGTGGGTGGACGATATGTGGTAATATAAAGGTGAACTAAATATAAGGTGGGTGAGCATAAATTTGGAACACAGTCACCCAGAGTTTTTCTTTTTCTTTTAAATGCCATGTTGCCACTTGGAAACATATGATTTCTACAGAGATCTATTCCAGTGAAAGGGAAAGGGCATGCAGCACCTCAGATGTACAGCATGTGTCTAGCATTGGACTTTTAGGATGGAAAACTGTGTGCGTGTGTGTGTGTGTGTGTGTGTGTGTGTGTGTGTGTGTGGCTTGAATGAAGAGAGAGAGAGATTGCTACTGTGCAGTGGCTTACAGGCATATTGACAAAACAGAATCAACTGATGTTGCATGAAGTAATTTTCCACATTTTCAC